TTTCAATTATTCTCAAACTTTTTATGTTCATTTTATGTTTCTTCTTTCCTTTTGCAATAAAATCGTTTTTCCCTAAAAAAAAAACATGGCATGACATGTTTAAACAATTTGAATTTTTTTTCCATGTCAGCAACTCTGCAAGACTAAACACAGAATTGCAGATTGGCCGCTCGAAAACGACGCTGGATCCTAAATAGAGACTGGTAGTTAGACTTTTATCTGGCCTGCTTTTGTGCTTCAAAAAAACACCACCCAAGAAATATTTAATGTTTTTAAATAGTGTTATTTGTCCTACTGAAATACATTCATTTCGTCGTATACCCGACAGAAATAACAAAAATTTTCCCGCTCTGATGTAACTGTTATGTTCCTAAGAGATATTACAAGGACAGACGAAACGAGTATTAAAACAATTTTTAGCAAACACTTGATAACTTCAGTTAAATTATGTTCTCGAATGTCCATTTTTTATTATTACATTCTTAGGCTTAGAGGTTCTTCTTGTAACAACATCTGGTAATTTTGCATCAATACGCAATCAAATGGATAAGATGGCTGATATTCATTGTACTTCGTTAGTCGACATTTTTTTTAAACTGGACGAGAGTACAGAGGCCCTACATTAATCATCTTCAGATGAACAATTTTGTCAATTGAAACGCATCTATTTGCGTTACTAACAAAAAATATTTTCTCGTTAAAATTTTTTTACTCGCAATAATTATTTTTTTTATAAATTCCATTGAACCAATGTACTAAAACATTGAACCAGCGTATTTAAACACTGAATCAGCGTACTTAAACATTGAATCAATGATGAACAAATCAATTTTTTTATTTTCGATTAATTCATTAACTCTGAACTCTCAACTAAAAATTACGGAAAGTATTAATGACTAAGGAACTTTAAAAATTTCAGCTAACACAACAGCTTATTAAGAAAAAAGTTTTTTGACTATCTTTCAAAAATATATATAAAGATAACATAAAAATTACGAATTCTGAATAAGGTGTTCGGCAAATTGCAGTCTCCATCATGCACCTCCGCACACACCATAGCCTGATGTTGTCGAGTTGAGGTGAGTGTACGTTACATGCTCAATGAGCTTTTTATTATCGGTTCCACGCAAAGTGCACATTGCTTACCTGGCTAACTTTCCAAATAAAAAGTTATGAACATTTTTATTGTTTCAGAATAAAAACCGGATTAAACTAGATTTTCATTTTTAGGTTTAAAAACGTCGTGTTTGTGCTTGAATTGAAATAACGTTTATTTGGAAATGCCTGGCAGAATCCTCATTAAAGTATTCTAACTTTCTCTCACCATACAAGCGCGAATCATACTCCGAGATGTTTGCCTGAACGTTTATTCACAAAGACACCACAAATTCACACACACACTCACCGACTGACTCGTATGCTATTCACAATCACATTAATAATATGAACTGTATATGAATTCATGAATTCATATCAATTCTGACGTGAACGACAAACACGAATAAACACGCAGACGTTTATCAACAACTTCCACTTATACATGCATGCATGCACACATTTATAGATCACCATGCTAACCTGCATCACACACACTCACACACTCACATGCACACATATTTATTATAACCAGATAACCAGCAAAATGCTCTGAGACGACGTTTAATAAGGAATTCAATTAACAACTCACAATCTTCAAACGGCATAATCCTCATTGGAGTCATCCTGATAATGATGTTTTTCCTCATTGACGTCATCATCACCGTCATAATTATCTACACCAACGTATGCGATTCTGTGGTGGACTCGTTCGGGACTGCTCTGCCCGCCAGTGGTGAGTTGGATGTGATGGTGGTGGGAGATGGTCAGTGAGATGGGGTGGTGGGGAGGGTAGTGGTCACTGGTCGGTGAGGTGAGATTGAGAGTGGCGGTGGGTTGTTTGTTATGAAGCATTTAATGCTTGCTGGGAATGTATGATGTTGGATGTTTTGATTGATAGTTTGCTGTTGCGTGAAATGTAATGCTGAAATATATTGGGATAAGATGGGATACATTGGGATCAGATGGGATACAGTGGGATGCGATAGGATATGCTGGGATCAGATGGAATATATTGGAATATGATATGATGATATTACATTGATACTATGCTGCTAAGAAAGGTATCTTGAGATTAAGGTTTGAATTAGTGCTAAAGTGTTAAATTGAAAGTTGTGAAATGAGTTTTTTTGATTGAGTGGTGTAGTGTTGTCAGCTTAACGTTGCGCGGTATAACTGTGATGTTGTAACACTGCTGTGACGCTATGGAGTTGTTGTCTGAAAGTTATTTATTGTGTCTTAATGAATTTTTATGTTTTGCTTTTTGTGTTGAAAAATTATTTTTAATTAATTTTAATTGTAATTTATGAAATAATTATTGATATTTTTAATAAAATAATTATGGCACGTGATCTATCCATTATATCCATTAAATGTTGACGAAGAATTGAAGTAAAGCATAAAATTAAACGCCAGCATATGACATTTCCACGACAGACGCTTCAATCTTTTTACTAACATGCATGTATGCATTGATAGATGAATGAATGAATGAATGAACGAACGAACGAATGAATGAATGAATGAATTATCGAAAAAACGAAGAAACAAACGAAAGAATGAAGGATTGAGTAGTGAATGAATGGATGAATGAGTTGATGGATGAATGAACGAATATATGGAGAACGGGTTGATGAATGAAAAGATTTATCTGCATCTTCATCTTTTTATCTCTCTATCCTTCCTTCCTCCATTCGTATTGGCATATTGTCACTTCTTCATCATCATCGCTATCTGGCAGCCTTGCAGACTGTTTGCTGTTTGACAATCATCATTTTGCTATCAGGTTACGACACTCACCACCGCCGCCATCCTCATTGCATCACCACCATTACAATCATCGTCGTCTTTTGAATAATAATAACAATTATAATTAAATAATAATATTAATAATTATTATTATTTTTAGCATAATCATCACCTACTTCTTAATCATCATTGACCGTCGCCTTTATCAGCGCCATCAAACGAAGTCGCCGCATAGTATCTACGATAAGATGCTCATGCGAACGTACACACACACACACACATACACACACACACACTAACAGACACACATACACACATACGCACGCGTGGTGGTGCTTAATGTTATTCATGTGTGCGTGAATAAAAATCGATGATTGCATTCTAAAGAGTTGCTTTCTTTCAAGTGATTTCATGCGACAATGTTGAGATTTTTACATTCTATGGGTTTTTTCATTCAATAAGATTGAGTGGGGTTTCATCCATGCAGTGCATGGATTGAGTGCATTGTATGAGTGGAATGCATGGATTAGATGCATTCCACCAATCTAATGAGCAGACAAATGCAGTAATGGAAGGAATTTTGACATTTTTGATATATAGTATCTTGAATGGACTGAAAGTTATCACCATCAAGTACAAATGTTTGATTTTCTCTTTCAGAATGTGGCGATGTTAAAGTGAATTAGGCTGGTTGTTTTTTTACTAGATTTATGTAGTACTACTCAATCTGCCGAGCATGGAAATGTGTAATTTGGTAATGGATATCTCAACGTTTTTGATATATAGTATCTTGAATCGACCAAACATTTATCCTTAGCAGTTTCTGAACGCACACTGTAGTCTGAAATTTTTAGTGTGGCGCTCCTATAGTGAATCATGCTGATAGTTTTTCTTTAGATTCATTCAACTTTCAATCTCACTGAACATGAAATTGTGTAATCTGGTAATGGAAATTCCAACGTTTTTGAAATATAGTATCGTGATTCTGAATAGTTAAAATTTGCAATTGTGTATTACTTGGCAAGTTTTAGTCCGATTTTGTCTTTGGAAAATTATTATCTTTTAATATAAAACTTGATGATTTAAATAAAAAAAATAACCACAAAGTATTATCACAAAAATACACAATGCTATCGGCCAGCAATCAATGTAAGAGTTTTTTCTAGGAATTGTACACAAAAGTTAATTTTGAAAACAATTATTCAAGCAAAAATGCAATGATTGCTACTAGTCAACAGCTTTAAATATTTAATGCAGCCAGAAATGACGAGCTGGAGGAGCGCACAACCTGCAAACAGCAAATGCAACTTTTAAATGTGTCAGAATGACGGTGTGTTTGTGTTTTGGGCGATAGATAAATTAGCATTAGTTGGCAGGCTGGCTATCTGCGGCTGACTGAATTTTCCTTCAATCCGACTGAACGACTTTCATAAAGCACAAAAGCATTTAATTCAATAACTCTGAGAAATAAAAACTAAACTTTGAAAAATTGAACATAATTGAAATAAGGTTTGTCCTTATCCAAAAAAATATTTTCTCGTACTGTAAATAAAAATTCATAAAAGATAGCAAAATGTGTGACGTTCACCAGATTATATGTTTGTTTAATTTTACGTTTCTCATACCAATGAAGAATTTGAAAAATTCATCTTATATGACTATGATGTAATTAAAATGTTATAAGCATGACTTTGTGTTTATGTCGTCGTTTGTTTGTTTTTGTCCATGCAATGTATTTATTACATCCAAATTAACATGACATGCATGTTTATAAACCCATATACTGACCACAAAACTAACTATATTTTGATCAATATCAATAGCAATGTAGTAGAAAAAGTTACATTTTGCCAAAATAATTTTAGTTTTTCAAATTTTTAAAATGTTTTAATCCAAAACTTTGGAAGCTCAGAAATCACATTACTTTTTAAATTTTGTAAACAAGTTCGAAACTAGATTTTAAATATTGTTAACATTGATCGCTCTTCACCGTTCTACGACGGTCACCGAACAAACAACATAGTTTGTTCTTGGAGAAGTTTTATCTGTTTCTGTAAACTCGCTCACTCAACGTTATTCAAAATTCAACTTCAACTCAAAATTGTTCATGTATATAAAATAATAATAGATGACTTTAATTGGCGACTTACGTGTGTTGAGTATTAGTTAGTGTTTAAAATGTTATAAAGTGTAATAATCGAAATCGAATAAGAAACGACTCACCCATTATTGTTAGAGATTAACTAGTTGTCTCTAACTTCTTCTAACCAGTCAATCCCTATTGCATGTCACCTCATTCTTATTATAAAAAGTATAATATGCTCTGATTAATTATATGCTATATTAACTTTTATTAAGCTGCTTTATTTCTGTAAATATGATGTCTCATCGTAACTAAACTATCATTATGATCACTTACCTATTTTAACATGCACCTATATACAACCTACATTTACTTATACCTCCTAACCTAAGTTACCACCTACATAATAATATCCAAAAAACGAAGCAGATGATTCATTTTGTGGCGTGTTTCCGAATGTTTTTTTCATCAGAAACTTTCAAATATCTTCCAAAATAAAATTTTTTGCAAGATAATTTAAAACTTGTGAGTTATTTTAATGATCGATGCAGACAACAGACATGCCGATAATTTAATTGTTTATTTTGGAAATTTGAAAATGTAATTACATTTTTTAGACAGAAATACTACGTGACCAAGAAGTTAACATATTTCCCATTTTTGTTTGTATGTATATTGCCTTGACATTTGAAAACGTATTTTGTAATTTTATATTTAAAGCATATTTTATTATTTATAATCATTTATTATAAATCAAATAAAATCTTTCATCAAAAGGTTTTTTGTTAATTCGAAAATAAATTATTTTGAAAATTTCTCTATCAAAATTATTACTGTAACGTTGAAATATTTATAAAAATGTGATCAATTACTATTTAAAAAAAAATTATTTATCTTCTTTTTGAAGTGTGACCCATTTAACACTTTATAATTTTGCGTTAGCTGGGATGAATTTTTTAGCAGGGTGTTTGGTAATTAGATTTGTGCGAACATGTGTGTTTGCCAAATTACATAAAAATAGCTTGAGCGCCCACGCAGAATGTAGTTCACCCGAAATAATTCATCAATTTGTGAAATTATTTTGAACGTTCAATAGAAAAAAATAATAAATGGTTTATGATGGAAAGCCTTACTAGGATATCAGAATTTTAGAATTTCAATAAGTGAATGTATGTGGAATCGTTTGGAGAAGTTTTGTTTTAAAGGATTTAATCTCATAACAAATCAATTTAACAATTTGTAGGAATATGGAAAGAATTACTATTTTAATGTTAAAAATGTTTTTTTTATATTTCTTGTTTAATATTAATAAGAAAATGAAAATCTTCATTTAAATTTGATAAATCATAATAAACAATATAAACGTAAAGATTCTAGAAATGTAAAGACTCTAGAAATTTGCGTGAATTACGAGTTGCCATCTCTGGTCTACAAATTTATAAGAGCCGATATCATTTTGTCTTATAGAATATATAGAAGAATGGAACTAACTTCGGCCGTTGTTACTGCCATCTTCTTGAGCGGTTACAAGTCAGCAGTCGATAGTTAGGTACTACGATGACTCCAAGTTCAGCTGGGCATCTAATTTCTAACATGTACTTGATTTGTGTACCTGTACAGTTACATCCAGTTTGCTTGCTGAATCAAAATTAATTTCTTTTGTTTATTAACGATTTATTTATCATCATTTTGGATATTGCGTACGTTCTCACAGGTTCACGTGTTTACACTCAGTTCAGTTTTGTTGACGCGTTTCTTTCATCTGATATATTTTTATTTTAATTTGTCTTTTGACAAAATAATAATAATAACAATAATAATAATAGTTGTTTGAATTGTAATAAGAATTGTAAGTAATTTTTCTAAGCAGGCATAGGGCCGAGAAAAACATCCACAATTGTAGAAAACAAAAAATATGTTATTTCTGCTGGGTCATTTGATCGCAGAAGCGTACAAAACGCTCGTAGATTGGCTCTGATAGTCCCAAGGGAGACGACAAATGCTCAACAATATAAGACTTTTACGACTTCATCTTCCAACAAATCCTGCTGCCCTTGCTGTTGTATGTCGCCATAATATCTACTTCTTCTGCGCGCATGTCGCTATGATATCTACTTCTTTTGCTTGTCGCTATGGTATCTACTTTTTTCACGTGTCGTTATAATATCCAATGCTTCTTGTTGGTAAGATTTCCATTACTGTGTTTGGATACGATAACTACGGCTGAAATCAAAAATGTTTTGCCATCTATGTTTTTAAAGTGTAATTTGAAGATCAGACAACAAACATCATACTCTGTTTGATATGTTAAATAAATAAGAAGCAAGAAATAGATTTTTGATAATTTTAGTATTAAAAGTGGATGTCTCAATAGGTGAAAGTATTGAAACGATCCTAAAAAATGATGATGGCCGTATTTGATCTTGATGACAGTAAAATAAATTTATTCAGACTATTTCTTAATATTCATAAAAAAAAATTCTTTTTAACTAACTTTATCGGTAAATGTTGTTAATTTTTTGGTGTTGAAAGTTAAAAATCTTCCCGCTTCAAAAAATTATAGTCCACTAGCAGCGTGTGCGCCATCTAACTTCGCTTTTATCATAATCACTTGAATCAGTCATGATTATTATCGCTATCTTATACCACAATCAATAACATTTTTCATCAACGCCATTGTGTGGTTTTGTATAACTAGCTGTGTGTGCGTGTCATGCAACTAACAAACGAACACCAATGAGACAAGTTGGCATTCGACTCAAAGTCAAATAATCTTTCCAACGCATGTTTATATTGATTTTAATTTTTTTGTACCAAGCAGTTATGATTGATTCCATAATACATACATGATGTTGGTGTTGAGATTGTTGTCGACGACGAGTCGCGGTGAACCACATTACATAGGCATTGTAATTGTTTGACTTTTTTGCTTGTTGCATGGTTTGTAATTTTTCAACATTTCCAGATGTCATTTCTGATTTCAGAACCAATATATGATGATGCTTCTCAACTCATTTTACATGTGTTGTTGTTGTTACAAGTTTTGTTATATAATGAAAAACCTTTTATTATGACGAAAGTTAAAGAGATATCATTTATATTTACTTATTAATATTTTTGTTGTGGTTTAAAAAAATTTTTTAAACAATTTTTTCAATATATTCCAAATAATTTCGGTACAATTTACTATCTATTTGCATTACAAGATTAAACAACCTAACAGCATACAAATAATAAATTGGCCTATAATTGCAAAAACTATATAATTCAAACTTTCCTTGTAAAACTTAATTACACTGCAGTTTTGAAGTTATTATAAATATAAAAATTTTTTCGCAACTATAAAAATTAATTTAAAAAATTTGAACTAGATTGCGAGCAGATGAGAATCAAGTACACGCCATCGAAGCACCAAGGAACCTTCTACACACCGAACTTCCCAGACAAGTACCCTCAGAAGATCAACTGCCTAGCGTACACCTTTGAAGGGGCAAGCACGCACCTTGTGGAGATGACCTTTCTTGAGTTTGACCTTCCTGGACCTTCTAGTCATTCAAGGTCATTTTCAATAAAAATTTTTAACTTTTCGTCTACTAAGAACTAACTTATTTAAGTCGTAGATAGAATTCTTTTTAAAAAATTTTTAAGAAATTTGTTAGCAATTTATTTTTCTGAAGGTTATTTTTCAATATAAAATAATGACAGTTAGTCTGAAATATTCGGTATATTTTATTCAAATATTTCCATAGAAAAGTGAAGACCTAATTGCAGTGAGTTTTAAGCGTTAGAAACTGAGAAGAAAAGATTTGGAGGGAAATGTCGCAAAGACAGATGACTGCAGCTCATTTGACAAATGCTTCCATTCGTTTAAACCTTTTTGATCATTCAATGGCTTTTTGCTTATCCATGAACTTATCATGTATTTGTTTTTTGTTCATTTAATCTTTTTGCTGACTGTATTTCTACATGAAAGTGTTAATTTTGATGAACATATAAAAAAAACACAACCCTTTTTCTATGAAAAGTCGAAGCAATTAAATGAATTATGATCCGTGTTCCATACGTTAACAAATGTTCAGTTTGAGCCCGTTTATTCTCATTGCTGCTTATTTGCATATAGACTGCTTAAAAAACTCTCACTTTATATTTCACACCAAAATTTTGAGTTACATCCTTGAACCGTTTGCTTCTTACGCCTCTAGACTTATATATAAAGAAATATCAATACAAATATGTATATAAAAGAATATATATATATATATATATATATATATATATATATATATATATATATATATATATAATCTTTACCTATTTGCGTACTAGAATATCATGAAATAGATTTGAAGCAGCTCATTAGTGAGCTCATGAGAAGGCGTACCACGCTGATCATGTGACGTCATCCTTTGATGATTTGAAAGTGAATAATTGCTTTCAAACTGACGCTTTTAAGTTTTTTTGTTACAAAAATACTTCAACTCTAGGCAAATCTGTTAATTAAATTATTTTTCGCTTATTTATAAATAACGATGTAACGATAGTACACGGGAAGAACATCATTCACACATCTTTACAAACGACAACCTCACTCACACATCTTCATAAACAACAACATTTTCACGGACCTCCTAACCGCACAGCACCATAATTGGCAGGTCCATGAATCCAGTGACGAAAAATAATAAAAAGCCAACGACAAAGAGGTTTCTCGTGCAAACAAGGACATGTTAATCAGGATTGCTGAATCATAATATTAAAACCAAATTACTTCTAAAATGGAACATTTCAAAACAGTTCAATAAAAAATATGTGAATAAGAAAATAATAAAAAAAACACTTGTGCCGACAAAAGGAAAACCAGCGAACGTGACAGCCAAAACCCGCATATTTGCATCTACAGCAACGGCATTTCTGATCAGAGCTTAGGATTTAAATTTCGAGAGTATTTCAACTTCTCCAAAGATGCAAATTGAATGCCGTTTGAAAAAATCTAATTATCAACCGACAAGTGATGTATGAAAAACATCGCTGATATTTTTTAACTGAGAAAAATTTTAATTGGAAATTATCAATAAATGGCCTGCCAAGGAGAGTCCTTGTTTGAAGCAAAGAATGTATAAATTGAAATATTCTCTGTTTCCTTCTTTGTTTATGGTCTTCTGCTTTTTTTTTATTTTTTTTTTGTTTTCTTGTTTATTTTATTGACCAAAAAAAATTTGTTTGATTTTTTTGGTGTGAAAATTCAATAACGGTGAATCTACTTCTTTAAACTATTCACTATTTTAGCGGTAAAAAAAAATTAAATATTTGTTTGTTATAGAAATTATTTTTCAATTTTTAATATTTGATAGCATTTAAATTTTTCTGGTTTTGCTAATTCATTGATATAGTTTATTGCTTAAATTATACTCAAGACTTTTATTTGTTTGCAAAATAATTTTAATTATTTTACAATGTAAAACAAAGGCAAACTTAAAATCGTGATTTTGTTTTTTAAGCAGAAGTGATTTTTTTATGAAGAAAAGCCACGAAGCTTCATTAAGTTGACGAATAACGCAATAGACTTACGTTAAGTGGATGTCGATGCATTATAACCTCACCATTCTTTCACTGTTGCACGTTTTAGTTCAATCTACAACGTCCTGAAGTTGTTCGTTTGTCTGCCTTGATTCGTCAATTTGAAAGATTTAATGAATGATAAAAATTTATCTTAAAAAATAAAAATTTTCATATAATGTTTAATAATGTTTTAATAAATGAATGGTGTAAATTTATTTAAAAAATAAATAAATAAAAGTTATGCTTTTTGCTGTTTCATCTATTTATTTTTAATTTAATTTGAATTATTCAATACTATATTAAACTACTTTAAATCATTAGGCAACTTGTTTTTTGTATCAAAATAGAATAGAATCTCAATTCCACTCAAAAAATTATATCTTGAGGCTGCAGTATATTGAATAAGTCAAATGATTTTTACACCTCTAATGTATTAAAAAATATACTTCCTTAAGTATCATTTGCATGCACAGATTTGGGTGTGCCAAAAGTTATTTGTACCAACAAATGTGAGACAAGCTTTCTAGAGTTTGAATGTGTTTTGCAATAGCTGATATTTTATGAGATGTGATGGTCCGTGGTTTCAATTTTAACACTACACGTACACAAACAATCTGAACAACGTTTAAAATATGCAACAGCATTAAAAACATGGAAAAGCAATTTGCGCAGTACCCTCATAAATATTTATTTTTTCTTACACCTTCCTTACACAACATTATTATTTTAATTTTTTTAACTTTTTAGTTGCATTAAATTGTTTAAAAATATTCTAAACTGTTTTTTCACAAAGTACTACCAGGTATTTCCATAAATAAAATTATGGGTGGAAATTTTGTAATAATTTTAATTCAACTGAAAACACATTAATTAAGACTAACTCAATTATGTGCAGTAATTCTGTGACATACTCAATTATGTGCAGTAAAATAATTGAATAATACCAAATGTTAATTTTTAAATGACAAAAACTTCCAACCGACAGATGCTCGGATTACTTACGATTGTATCTTGACCTTGACCCTTCGACGATGGCTGGCCTACTTGATAGCAGCAACAATCACTTCCACCTCAAGACGAACGACATGAAATGGAATGAAGAACTGTGTGGAAACATATCAACCATTCCCAAGAAACACTTTTCTTATTCCAGCATGCTCGTAGCTGTCTTCCATTCGGAGAGTCAAGCCTCGCATCACTATGGCTTCAGAGGAATTTATAAATTCGTTGATAAAGGTAAGTAATATTAAAAAAAATTAAACTTAATAAAACTTTACTCTGATGATTGCAAATTTCATTTCTATATTGAGTTCTTTTTTATAACTTTTGTTACGATGTTCAATGTTGCAGATATATCTTCACGTGCATACTATAAAACAAATCGCTGTACAATAAAATAACGATTCATAAATCGCTTTTCCATGTAAAGTTTTTAAAGTAGCGTAAACTGAAATCAATAAATCTTTAATTAAAAAAATAAAAATTTAAAAAATTTGCGCAGAAATGTCGAAGAGACATTGAAGTTTTGTTGTTAGACATTCAATTCGAATTTATGTACGATGGCCCTGCCTCATTTACTTTTGAAAACGACGCGAAGAAAGTCAAATTGCAGACACACGAACATCAAATAAAACTACAACAAAACAGAAAAGTTTTTAAAACTTAAGATGAAACACAAAAATGTAAACAAAATAAAATTTGAAAATAAAAATAAGATCAATATTTTTAGAAATATCTTTAAGCTTTAAAACTCTGTTGATTTTAAAAATTGCAAAAGAGTTTGAGCAAACAAATCTAAGTATTGGAGAAATTTATTGAGATGAGGAACACAAAGCAAATAATAAAAATGAATGAACATATATATTTTGTTTTGTTAAAATTTTCAACTTCAAGCAAAACATAAAAAAAAATATCTGGTGGTTACCTCCCAACAACACAACTCACAAGTTACTTAACAATAACACAAAGCCTAAGTTACTCTAAAACAGCACAAAGCACGACTTATGCAACAACAACACAAAGCCCAAGTTATATGACATTGAGAAAGCAATCAATCTTTCAGTAAAATGATTAAAACTGACTGAGACTGAAATTAGTGGATGCCTCACATTATGCATAATCGAGTTAGCAAGTATGCTCTAAATCTTCATTGAGCCTTTTGACGCTCATAAAATTGCCGTCGGGTCCAAGCGCGACGCTGCACTCGTCTCTCTCAATTAATTTTTATTCCGCTTTCCCCGCTCAACATAAGAAGTGTCATCATGATTACGACACATAAACAATTTTTATAATATAAATATTCATATATTTATTACAATTTAGGTTTAAGGTTTCTTTCAAAAAATTATAAACATCACCGAGCAGCAAAAAAAACGCCAAATCACTTTGTATGACAGAAATTAAAAAGTCTATTTATGTGGACATACACTAAAAATAACTTTAATAGAGAAAGTCCTAACAGTTACAATGAATTAAACACAAACATCTATTTGATTGACGTTAAAGGAAATTTTTTAAAAACAGAAAATGAATAAATATAAAAAATTCTGAATTATTCAATAAAGACCAAGAACTAATGAAAAATTCAGAACATCCCAACGAGCGAAAGAAACAAGACATGTGAACATTTGTAAACTTTACAGTCAGACAACAAACACATTGCACATAAAAATTACGACATTTAAAATAACAGACAGGCAGAAAAAAAACTTAGATCGTTTAAAAAGTAAAAACTGCAAAAATTCAAGCACAAAAACAAAAAAATACAAAAAGAAAATAATAAAAATAAACATGAAAATCAAAAGACTGTAAACATCACAAGCTTTTCAAACACAAAACAATAACAAACAAAAAAGTAAATTTTCTAAAATAAAATTAAAAAAGCTATTTACGTGAAAAAGTGGAAATAAAACAAAAAACTGAAAACAAAGAGATTGTAAAATGTTAAACAATTGATGCTGCAGACAAATAATTGAATGTATTTTAGATTTAAAATTTTTAAAACTTAAGAATTACTCTAAATTAAAAAAACTGATTACCAATTAAAAGTTAAAAAAACCTATTGACAAAATATTAAATCTACATAGAAAAGAGTAATTTTTTCAACATTTAAACAATTTAATCTAATATAATTGGTTAAAAAATTGAAACAATCAATGCAACGCATGACAAATATCTAGAACGCTTTCAAACGTCACGAGCTTCCATCTATCAAAACATACAAAATAAATTGAATAAATCAGTTTTCTATGAAAATGTGAATCAAAACATTAAAACGTTATTTCAAATACGCTTTAAAATAGTATAAAAAAAATA